CTGCAAACTTTCACCTTCATATTTGGATTATTTTTGGACAACTGTCTTCCACTTTGAGTGCTTCGTACGCCCTGGAGAACTCGATTCTTACATTATTCGTAGTTCCAGTATAACTTTCTCACGCAGTAAGTTCAAAGTAGACACTAGTCTTCCTAAATAAGCCTGTTAAGCTAATATCCGTATTCTCTATTTCAGTTAATCGATGAAGACATGTACCACGTACATCTGCTGTATACTGCCATTTTACTCCAATTCTAACTGTTGTATCTTACTTCTGAAAAATAAAATCGCTATATGCAGCAAATACAGACTGATTTGTCTTGATGGAGATAGGGGTTTCATGGAATGTTTAGCAGGACTGTAGTAATATTCTCACTAAAGAACTAAGCGAGTGCGTAGACCAATGTAAGGTACCATATAGGGTGCCTTTGAGTTACTCGTGTTCCATTAGTGTGGGTAGAGGTATTGCTTGCTTATCATATGGCATCTGAATAAGAAACTATGAGATTAGACGCAGGGACGGTTAGGATGTAAAACGCGCGTTGATCCATCAGCTGCCGTGACAACTCATGGTGGTTAGAATAAGTTGTGAGAGGACCCGATTCTGTAGGTTTCCCAAGAAAATGACGAAGATATGTACTACATCACTTAAATTTACTACATATGAACTAGGTGCTGAGGGGCTCGTATTTCACAAGTTTCTTGCAACGATTAAGTAGATAAAACAAAGTAGCATTAGATTTAGAGATTTATTCAGGAACTTTTATTAAGAATCGAATATCAAACAAAGGTTTAAACCAGATTCCCGTTTAAAAATTGCATTGGTAATGTTAAGCAGCAGTCTTTGTTGTTTTGTTTTTTTTCGAACGAAAGGGTAAAAGAAATAACTCAAAGAATACTGGAAGTGGTTGTGAGACTAAAATGGACATCCAGCATCCTTCTTATAATCTGCCGTTAGTTGGGTCTCCCGTAAACAGTTTCATAAGGCCATAGTTCTAAGGGGGAAACAGTTTTTAGGATCTGTGAAGGCTCACTTCTGTTGCATTCTAAATGAAAAAATAGTAATGAATTCAGTCAGAAATGTGGAATAGGTAAATAAACAAATTACATGTTTCTTAGTAAAGAATTTTTGCAGCTGTGACTTACCTTGAGTTCATGAATATTAGATCAGGTCAGCTACTACGACTTGTGCAAAGCATAATATAGGCTTAGTACCGCATCGCAATGCTTTCATTATTTTGCTCCCATTTAAGTATTGCCATGCATCTGTGTCTAGTTTAACAGGAAGACATACAAGCAGAGTTAGTGTCTGATAAACTAAAAGTCCCAGTTATCAAAAAGATTTTTAACATTTGTCCACAGACAGCTGCATTTAATTGAGACACACTCATCTTCTAAGACTGTATACTGCTGTTTTGCGGGCAACTAAAAGCTCAGATGCTTAGCTATCCTGCTACCTATGTTATTGCTGGGGAAATTGTCTGATGACAGTGATCTTGAAATATGGTCAGTGCTAGATGTACAGTCTAGAAATAAACACCAATCATACTTATCGCTATCTTATAATGTATGACAGCAACAGCATCAAAGACACGTTTTTTCCTATTTTTAATCAGACTGATTTGAATCAGTATACTCATTAGAACCAGGCAGCTCTACTTACTAAACTGATCTGTTTTGTTACAGGCTTCAAGCAATATACTTAAGTATACTAAACTGAATTATACGACAACCAAGAATACTAAACTAAGCAAGTGTCAAATTATTGTTTCATTTGCACAGACATGTTGCTCAAAGTAGTTAAATGGACATAATTCAGCCGACAAAACAAAACACGAAATATAGGCCAGTCGAACTTACCTAACAGAAGACAAAGGTTATATATATTGCTTTAAGACTGAAGACAACTGTCAGTTGTTCATAAAAACATAGTCTACAGTACAAGAAACATTTATTCAATAACATCTGGAAACAATAAACTATGTGATTAAACTCACTATGACTTGGGATATCATCCCAGCGTGCAATGAACGTACAGTGTAACGCAGTCAGACGTGGCGAATAAAAATTACAACCAGAACAAAATTAACAGCATAATCTAGTTATTTAATAAAAAATACATTATGAAATGACAAATTCTATGATTACTTGAACGCACAGATGACCGTCATTACACTGGGCGATACATTAGGCTTATATGGTTGCGCTGTGGATAAAATCACCCAACAAGCAATCTAATGATAACTGCAAATAACCAATAATACTCACTTATAGTTTTAATTTATCATCATAAATGAGGTCGGTCGAGAAAGTAACTATGTGAGTTTCATTGAAAAGTTGAAACCTAAATTGGCTAAAAATAAACACGGTTTTAGACGAAAATATTAATAGAACTATAACAGTACAATTATATCAAGTAAATTATGAACTGATTACAACTGTCTAGAATGAAAAAAATATGAACTGTAATAAAATTTCCTAAAGAAAAGTACAAATCAACTTCGGATGAAGTTTTGTTCTCTGAGATAGATGGTTTGGTTGTGAAGCTTTTATCATCCTTCTGAACGACATCATCAGCGTTCACTTCTATCTGACGTTTGTGTTGATGATATCGTTCAGAAGGATGATAAAAGCTCCACAACCAAACCATCCAGCTCAGAGAACAAAACTCTATCAAAATCATCCACCTGAGATACAAATCTTCTCCATCATCTCAAAATCAACTTCCAGATGATACATTAACAAAACTGGACAAAAATGCCGTTACTTAAAAACGATCATACAATGATAGGAAAAATGAATGGAATGAAAGAAGTATGACTTAGCAACTTTACAAACAATCACAGTTTTAAGTAAATATTAATATTCGTCACATGTTGGTTTTGCTAACAAATAAAACTATGTGAAATGATTAGAGTTAGTCGGCGAGATACAGTGGATCAAGGTTTTCTACTACCTCTAACCACCTAACATTGTAAGTATTGCCTTGTTGATGAGTATTAATTAGTACAAAACTTAGATCCAGGGTTTCCTGTCGACTACTTACAACCACTACCTTATATCTCAGCATAGTAGACATAGGTATGTGTCACTTACACTGGTGAAAACATAAAAACGTGATTGATTGAATTCAGTTAGTACTAACGAATTAAATAAAAATAACCTAGATCATTATTCAATGATAAATCAATCGTAGATAAACGAACAAACACTGTCTATAAACATCAGTAATTATTATTACTTCTCATGTAAACAGTAATTACAGTATATAAAGGGGATATCCTTCAAGGAATATTTCAGTTATTCTGAGGGTATGTTCTACTCAACATCAGCAGTGTGCATCTACATGAAACCATGATCAGTGGAGTTCAATAGCGTTTGGAAGATAATCGAGAAATTTCGTGGATTTGTTGAACGTAATCATTAAAACCATTAAGTGCCGGCTCAGTGGTTTAGAGGTTGTGTTCACATGGGACCAAAGGTCCTGGGTTCGGGTGCCGCGTGTGGGATCGTGAATACACACTACTCATGAGTCCCATACTAGGACGAAACGGTCGTCTAATGTTTTCGGGCTATCGATGATGATTTAACATTGATTGGTTCACGATTTCAAAGCAATTCATTGATTCTTTTTTTACTAGACTATCATTGATGAATTTATTTTTTAATGGATGATTTCCCGATAAATATTAATTTGATTGGAGATAAAGAAAATGTAAAAACGCATTATCTATCATTTTCGAGCAATCTCCTGTTCATTTAGTGAATGAGGATTGTATATAAGAGCATAACATATACTCAATACTTCACTTCAATTACCTAGAGCCATCTACATATAATTTTATGAACAATTACTGAAGCACATCTCAACATACCAAATAAATAAAAAAGCAAAAAAAAAAGTGAAAATCAGAGCTTGAAATCAAATCTTCACTGTTCTCATATGCAGCATCTACTTATCATACAAAGAGAAAAATACCCGTAAAACCTTAACACCTGATATTCTATCCTATCACAAGCACATCTCTTATCTGGCATCTACAAAACAAAAGGACAACTAAAATCTCATAATAAATTCCATAATAAACAATTAACCAAGATCAGATAGGTTTTGTGGATATTATAGTAATTTCAATGATTAAGATCATAAGTTCGCTTGAATCTAGACCACCATGAAAAACCTAGAAGCATTGGACGGTCGTTTCGTCCTATTGTAGGACTCCTCAGCAGTGCACATCCACAACCTCGCCCTCTGCGAGATTCGAACCCAGGACCTACTGGTCTCGCGCGCAAACACTTAACCACTAGACCACTGAGCTGGCCGGTATCCAACGGTGTTAATGTCTAACTTCAACTAATCCACGAAATTGAGCGACACAACCAAGAATAAAATTGAATATCATAAGGAAACCAATAATCTTTTAGTTTGTTCGTTTTTTTTTTAAATATTTTTTATTCTATCTGTCAAATCAAAATCCTTCAAAAGAACACCCATTTATTTATTGGTTATTCTAATGAATTTGTACATACATAATTAATGATTTACACCTATTAATCATCTTTCTCATTATTAATACATTTTATAATATCGGTAATTTAAACTTGAACTGAATTATTAATTTATGATTCACTAAATACAAAGATTAAAACAATCCAATTTTGTTTGTTTGTTTATTTGGTTGCTTATTTGTTTGAGTTTTTTTTTGTTGTTGTTGGTTTAAGTAAAGTATAAGTAACATCATTGTTCAATGTTTCAATGGATAAACATGAATAGTAACCGAATATATATATATAATAATCAACCTATAAAATTACTTATCATTATTAATATTTATATAAAATAATCGAATTCTAACCATAGAAATAAATTAACCAATAAATTTTAATGAAATATAACTTGTTTCTGAGTGGGTGAATTTTTATCACAATTCATGATTGGTTATATTTTATTCAATCAAATTTCAATCAGTCTGTCTCAATATATATTTTTATTGTTCTAATATCAGTAATTATTAACATGATAGGCATGGTAATAATAGTCATCATATAATTGATATATTTATTTTATAAAGTTAATAGAAAGTAACATTGAATCAGTCACATTTGAACTATAAACGTGATTTGAAAAAATTTGAGTCATAATAAAAATACTTTTATTTATCTACATTATTGTTGTTGCTAAGGCAAATTCAAATCTACATCAACATCAACAACAACAACAACAACAAGAACAAAATCTGAAATTGATTTGATTATTCAATTGATCTAACATATATCACAATTAAATTGTGCCTTAAATTCTCATCTTATCGTTATGAATTTGATCTAAAAAAAATTATTTCTTAAGAAGAAAACAAAGACAAACCAATAATAAAATTATAATAAGTGAATTGTTTATTTGACATCAATATTTATCATTATATATTGGATAGAAAGTGTATCCTCTTGTTTCTAATATCAATAATTTGTGAATAAATACAATTGGTATTATTGAATTCTTGAAGATTTATCAATAAAAGGTAAGAGATTACGTTTTATTATCTTTTTACTTTATTGCCATTATATATGGGCAGATTTCTGATTTTTGTTAATTACATTTATAATATACTTACTTAAGCCTGTTACTCCTAATGGAGCATAGGCCGCCGACCAGCATTCTCCAACCCACTCTATCCTGGGCCTTCTTTTCTAGTTCCATCCAATTCTTGTTCATTTTTCTCATGTCTATTCCCATTTTCCGGCGTGATGTTTTCTTTGGTTTTCCTCTTTTTCTTTGGCCTTGAGGATTCCCCATATGAGGGCTTGCTTTGTGATGCAGTTGGGTGTTTTCCTCAATGTGTGTTCTATCCACTTCCAGTTCTTCTTCCTGATTTCTTCCTCCACTGGGATCTGGTTTGTTCTCTCCCACAGTAGGTTGTTAATATACTATTGATTAAGATTAATAAATAGTAGTTAATTGTCTCTCGTATAATTTTATCACGATTGGTCACTGGGTGGTGATCAGTGTCATGCGTGTCTAGTCCTTTTTAGTGCAGATCGAATGCTATCGACCAAGTTGCAATGTGGCCACCAGTCTAGGTGACTCGACACTGCGTGCACTATTTATACAGTGACATTGTTGACCAATTATCTTAGTTAAGTTCAAAGGAATTCCAAGTGCAATTTTATGTTATGGGTTATTTAAACAGTTTTAACATGGGATCTAATTTAAGGTGTTATTTTATTAAATCAAAGGTAACAAATAATACATTCTGGTACTTTTCAAACAATAAAATTTAATCATCAAACAAATGAATGACAAATAGGAAAGAGATTTATGTTATAATACCTATGCTACGACTTTCAACCTTGTCCAAGTCAATATTCAACTCATTATATAATAAGAAGAATGTAGTATTATCGGATCAAAATGAACGATAACCAATAACCAATTCATGTATTTAAAAAATAGAAAGTTGTGATGTAATTTTGCAAAGATTTAATAATTATATGTAACTTCTCAGTTTAGTGACTGAAGCATTATCGGAAATTGAGTTAATAAACCAGTATTAGTTTGTATTCTTTAAATTTCTTTCATTCAATTCTCAAATCCTTAATTAACTAATTAAGCATTTCATGCACTGTTGACATTCATTGTGGGCATTTAAGGTTATATGTGTACAATTTCGAACACGCCAATTTCATGGTCTTGTATGATAGTCTGATACTTATAAGTCTGTCGTAGTAATAACAGTTTCTGTGACAAGACTAATTTATGAACGAACCAATCAGATATAAGATAATCGGTCTTGAATTTTGACTCGAAATTTATTTAGACATTTGGATAAATATCATTTCGGTATTATAGTTGATGTCAGTTAGTGATGAAAACCTTAAATCTTATTCCTAATCCTAACCACCAATTATAAATCATAATTCTAATTCTTTACCCTGGTTTATAACCCTCATTAAAGTTCTGGTTAGTAGGTAGACATTCTCAAGGTCACTTTAGCGTCGCTCAAAGGTCATCCATAAATTATAGTCTCATCATTTATAAATCTTCTACTTTAAAAAAGATTTTTATCTTAAAAGAATTACTGACATTTATCAAATATACACAATGGGAATATTCCTTTTCTCTCCCAATGTCATTTTCATATTCTCTAAGGTAATATTTAGTAAACAAGTGGGAAATTAATGATTAAATTAGGAGAATTCATTTAAACAAAGCTAAAATATCAACAATAAAAGTATAAGATAGAGATAAACCAATCAGAATCAAGACTGAAAAAAAATTTTAGTCCTACTATCAAAATCAAATTTCACGTATGACCTAAAATATAAATCTCTATATGTACTACTTAAAACGTTTAAAATGATAACGAAAAAAAAAAAAGAAATCACTTTAAAACCAATATAGAGTAAAAATGATAGTGTTTAAACAAACCAAGTGTTCGATTTTTGTCTATATACATAGTAGATAACAGGTAAATTAACATTTCAATATTATATTTATTATTATTTATTTTAACACATAGATATTGGTACAAGGAGGCACCAAATACATATAAGTCACAAAAATCTCATTTGATATGTGTGAGGGCTGTGATACTGCCAGGGTGCCCAGACCGAAGCAGGTGATTTTCTTAGAGGGCCACTCCCTGAGCCTTCGACCTGACGATCTGATCCACAAGGCAGTGGAGTATTGTAAGGAGATGCACTCCCATGGAAGCCGGTGGCCAACAATTGGTTTATACACCATTTTCTCTCACAGGATACTGGTGTCCATGTGTACCATTGGTTTGGAATCCGGTTAAAGCGCCGGACATTCGCTTTTCGTCCTTCCATTTTCGTAAACCACACCCCGACCACGAGAAGGCAGTGAGTAGGACTTCGCTGGCAGAGGCTATATACGCGTGGCCATGTGAGAGGATTTCGAGAGAAAGAGCGGACTCTCCCCACTCTCGGCATTTGCGGGCATTTCAATCTTAACACTAAACCCTGAACCCTGAAACAAACCTTAATCTGGTGTGATTTTTACCTTATAACTGATATTAGTTTGTGATGATGAGCTTAATCTTAACTTTTTTAAATCTTTGTTCTACATATCTAACCCTAAGTAGAGACAATGTAGGAGTTCTTGAAGATCTATTTGGATCACTATAAGCTTTCTAGAAGAAGGATAATTTTTATTCATAAGGAAGATTTCTCATGTTGTTAGTTATCCCATCTACAGGTAGATTAACCCATAAAAGATGTCCATTAACTTATTGTGTAAAATCTGTTTGCACTTTGTAATTTTACCGTTTCCTTTCTTTGGTTTTCATAAACTATCCATTTGTTTTCTGATCTTCTAAGAACTGGTTAAAAAAGAATTGTCACGTTTGTTTTAAGCTTGTCTTTGTGCTATAATGTTGTCTAAGGAAAAAAACCCAGTAGAAACATTCAATTATTTCACTCTATTTGTAATAGACATTCCATTGATTTCTTCATAACTTCATTTGGAATTCATTTTCAAAAAAATCATAAAAGATTTATGAAGATTATTTACATTAATATGAATTGAATCTAATTAAATAACTACTGAATACTAAGTAGTGTTACATGTAATTGTTTCGTTATAGCATAGAACTCATTGACAAATTAGACTTTGGACATCTACTAAAATTGAACTAATAAACCTTCAGATTTCATAAAGAACATGTTATCCATAGATTGTTAAGTTCACACTAAATTGCTTTTGTTGTCGACTTCATTTCTGATAGAATCGTGGATATATAGTTGATTATTATTAATGGCTTTATTCAACATTATATTTCTGGTACAACATAGAATTCTCAACATAAAGTATTTCAACAGGTTTCTTTTTCTTACTTCTTGGTCGATCATGATGTTAAATACTGAGTGATCGCCAGTTGGAAGTTAGCAGTCCATGACTCGACATCTGAATAATGTACATACTTTTCGGTGCACATTGCCAACGATCACGATGTCTCTGAATTGACTTTTTCGTAACTTGTACATTGAAAGATCGTAAACTTTTCATAAACGCGCTTTGAATAGGTTATGTGATTAATAGACATAATAATGTGTTAAAACAAACAAAGAAAACAGATAAGTTGTTGAATTATTTAGATGGTAGGAACAGGTAGCCCAAATAATCGAACAAGCCATTAGTTAAGTTATATATTATAATGAAACAGCCTCCCAATTTTCTTTAGCTTTCAATAATTGTTTAACTAAGTTATTTGTATTCACCAATATGCTTGAGAACTATAGCCTGAACAATAACTATTTTAAATTTCTAGAAGAAATTTAATGGAAAAAAAATGATTGTTTCCAAGTAATTTAATAAGTCAATTTTATTATATGTGGTAGACTGTTTTATTTCTCTAAGGGACAAGTAGTATTAGTTACATGTGTGTTTTTTTTTTACAGGAAATATTGATTTACCATTAAAAAGGATGTTTAAGATAGGTTTTAATAAAATATAACATCATGTTTGGGAAGCAGAAGGTGGTAGTAGATAGCAACTATATGTTCAGTTGTGTTTTTTATTTGCCATCATTGACATAGTTACAATAATGACTATTGATTTATTGATCATTTTAATATTAAATATTGTACAGCAATTCTTTTCAAATGGTGTTATAATATTTCTTTTCTTTTTTAAATAAAAAGTAACTTTGGTAGATAGATAGGTAAACATAAATAGAAGAGGAACTTGATGCACCTTATGAATGACCCATTTAAACACAATGCAATGAATGATGCACATAGACATATGTAATTTCATAGAAACTGTGAGTTAAGTATACAGGAAATATTAGGTATAAATTAATATTTATAATAAAAGTCTCAACAACTCGAGCTTAAACGGTCATAGTCTTTTTTTTCAGAAATATAATTAAACAGTTATTTAGTTTATTCTGTTTTATCTTGGATCATTTTAATTCTGCCTATTTCCTTGAAGAAACACAGATTAAATTACTGAAAGAAATTCTGAAATAATTATTAAGTGATATACGTATAATTTTAGATATTGTATGTAATTGAGCACATAGGACTATCTTTATAACAAAACATCTAAATTAGTAATGATCATACTAGTCCTAAAGTAGTTATCTACCGATGACTGTCAAAAATGATCTCATAATGACATGAATTTAAACTATTGAGTGCTGATTCTGTGATCTAAAGGTTTAGCGCTCGCTGAGAGAACTGAAGGTCCTGAGTTCGGTCCTTGAAGGGGTCACAGATGTGTAGTTGAGTTGTCATATTAGGGTGTGATTGTTGTTCAGTGCTTCCGGGTTTCCAGTAGTTTTTTTAGCTGAGGTTATTTTGTGATGTAAACTATAAAATTTAATTCTGTATGATGTGTATTGAGTGGACGATTGTAAAATGACTAAAGCTAAGATGAAAGTTATCCAATCTTGAACTTGTTCTCCAGTAGCTCTTTAGCATGACATACTTTTCCTACCACTTATCAAATATAGGTAGGTTCAGACTACTTTGTTGGAGCCCGCGTGATTATCGTAAC